GAAACCCTTTATCAATAAACCAATCAAGTTATGAATGTGGCAGCTTTGGTTCGTTTACTTTGTTTACACTTTATTTTGTTGTATCACCATTGGAGTCATATCTATTTCAAGTTATAAACATGAATTTGACTTCGAATCTCTCAACTTCTGTTATAATGATAAAACCAGATGCAACTTATATAAATTATGATGGTGCTGCTGTTGGATTTACATATCAAGCATCTATTAATTCACAAAACTACTTTGTAAATGTAACTAGTACTTTTAAAGTTAGTTTTTACTTTTTTTTTTCTTTCTTAACAAAAGCATCTATATCTTATTATTTTTAACTTGAAATTTAATTAATAATGAAATTTATGTTTTCTAATGGTGTATAATTTAAATTTAAAAAGTATTTTTAAAATTAAAATTTTAAATTCACAGCTTGTCAACTTTTAAAGGGTGTGCTTTAGTAGGTTTAATAAATGTGAAGTTAATACTTTTTCTTGCGAAAAAATCTTTTATCTTACCAAGATAAGCTATTCCTCTCTATATATTTATATAGCCTTCAAAGTTCAAATGATTTCAGTTCGTAACAAAACTACCATACTTAGCTAATTAAAAATCAGCTAAATTTTGCTTTTCTTGCAAAGATTTTTTGTTAAACATAAGATTTCTTCAATGATACATTATAAAGAATGACATATTTTATGTATAAAAAAAAGTTGTTTTGCTTACGCATGTTAAAATCTAACAATTATATTAAATATTTATGAATAATTCAATTTTGCTATCACAAGCTTTTTAATTTATATAATAAATTTCTTTTTTAAAACTGTGTTTATTAAAATTTTAACTGAATCAGTTATACTTATAAAAAAATTCTAATTATAATAATTCCCCAGAAGATTGTTCTAGAACATGTAATTGGTTGCAAGCGATAAGGTTTGCTATTTTAGGTGTCATGCTGCAACAAATATTTACAAGATGTGATAAATTTAGAATCTGAAAAAAAATCTTACTGATCTTTTAATAGCATTACAGATTAAATACATTATGTAATCAACATAGTTTTGAGACCATAACAAAACACATCAACAAATCAAGTTGTTAAAAAAACTGAAAAGAAATTAAATGATTATATTTAGATATTAAGACACTAATTAGAGTTGAAAGTTACTGGAAGAGAGAAGATGAAGATTGTAGATTGTAGATAATGATTGACAGACGACTTAAAAGATTGCAAATTATATGAATTAGGAAAGCAAGATGAAGGAAGAATATTCCAAAGAACTAATGTTGGAGAAAAAAATTAGAGGAATAAGAGTTTTTGGAGCACTTAGGAACAGTCACAGAAAAAGGGTGAGACTTAATTATATGACGAGTAACATGAGAATGAATTTTAGTAGATGGCACAAGAGACGCTAGCTCTTTAGAGCAGTGCCCGTTATAGTATTTGTAGAAAATAGAAAGAGAAGCAACATTAAGACAATGCGATAATGGTTGAAAGTTGGCTGCAAGAGCAGGTCCAACTATGTTTACAATGCGTTTTTTTAACTTGTCTAAAAGATAAAGGGCATCATTAGAAGATTCGCCCCAGAAACGGCAATAGTATTCCATACAAGGCCGGATTTGAGATTTATAGAGATATAGAATAGAATCCAGAGTGAAGAAAGTGTCGAGCTTGATAAAGAGATGCAACTTAAGCAGATGCTAATTTTGCAACGGATTTGATATATGTTAATCTAGAAGATGACGGGTAGATGACTCATCAAGTACATTACCTTTTATAAATATAGGAAGGTCTAAATTATTGCAATAACGATTGACTGAAAAAAATTGAGTTTTATCTGATTTAACGTTCACCAGCCACTGTGAGCCCCAGAAATAAGATCTTTTTCAAGCTCAAATGCCCCCTCCAAGCAATCAGAGAGAGTTGGCTTCTTATCATGACAAGAATAAATGGTAGTATCATCAGCAAGCAATGCCACTTTAGATGTGAAAATATCTGGAAGATTGTTAATGTAATTTAAAAAGATTATAGGACCAAGGATTGAACCTTGAGAAACCCTTGAGGTTACAGAATAAGAAGCAGAGTGTTGTCCATCAAGAACAACTTTTATACTACGATTGGAAAGAAAGGATTCAATAATAAAGATGTTTCCAGATACACTGTACGAAAAAAGGTTATGGAAAAGACTAGCATGCCAAACTTTATCAAACACTTTAGAAATGTCAAGAGTCCTTATGTTCTCTACCTTTATCTAATGCACGATAAAACCTATCGGTTATTACTATTAACAAATCAGCCATAGAACGAGAAGATCGAAATTCATATTGATGATTAGAAAGTAAGTTATTTGATTCTAGATGAGAGATTAAGTGTTTGTTTATTAATTATTAAAGATTCAAAAACCTTGTTTATGATAGGAAGAAGACTAATGGGACGGTAATTAGACAAATCAGATTGCTCTCCAGAATTTTTAAAAATGGGGATAAAAGATGCTGCTATCCAGCAGGCTGGAAATCAAGACTGTGATAAGCACTTGTTCAATAGTTTTGAAAGTATAGACGACAGCACCGGAGAACACTTCTGCAAGACTATAATAGGTATGTTGTCCAGGCCACAAGCTGTTGAAAAGTCTAAGCAGGAAATCACTTTAGATACAGAAGCTGGAATGATACAAATATCAACAATTAACCTGTTTGATAGCTATATCAGGTAGAACGCAGCTAGTGGAATCAAGAGATGATATTGATGAAAAGTTCTTAGCAAATAATTCAGCCTTGTCTTTAGGTGAGGCAACAAAGTCTGAACCATACAAAAGAGGTGGAACTATAGACTTGCCCTTATTATTGATACTATTAAAGATTCTCCAGAAGTCACGAGAGCCTAATTTTTGTGATGAAATACAAGATTTCATGACCTAAGAATAGCGAGCTTTGGCATTAGTCAAAATCTTTTTACAATGGTTCCTAGCAATAGTAAACCAACGTCTTTTGTTTTCGTTTTCTAGAGAATTGTTTTGCTGATTAATTTGGCAATTGCAGCAGCACAATGTGAGGAAAACCATGTAGAAGTGTGAGGCTTGACCTGGAATCATCGAGAAGAAATAAAGGATTCCATGCCAGCCTGAAACCACGAAGTTATATAAGAAGCACATTTGTAAACAGGAAGATGAAAGATTTCTACCCAAGGGCCATCACAAAAAAAATCACAGAAAGAGTCCCAGCCAGCTTCAAGGTAGTTGTATGATGTATGATGATTGGGGGATTCAGATGATGAAGAAGAATGAGATAATAGTTTTAGAGAGATCAAACTGTGATCAGAGGCACCTAAGGGTGAATGTGGAGAAACTGTGCACTGGCTAGGATCAGAAACAAGACATAAGTAGAGTAGAGAAAGTGAATGATTCTAATTCTTAAAGTCACCGATAACAACAATATTGGCTGATAGAGAAAGAGAAAGAGCTTGGTAAATATGATCAGAAATAACATCAAGAAGAGTGTAGTCTTGAGATGAAGGAGAGCGATATAGAACAAAGAGGAAGGGGATAGAGTGAAGTGGTGCTAAACGAAAGCACATAAAAGAGTAGTCTGTGCATTCAAACCTAGTTTCTTGACAAATGGGTGAGTTCTTACAAATTTAAATGCCCAGGCCAAACATGTGACTATTGGAGTCTTTACAAATTAAAGGAAGATAACTATTAACACTAAGATCACAAGATGAGACAGCTGAACTCAAATTAGTCTCACAAAGAGCTAGAGCTCTGGTGAACTTTGCAATAGATAAGACTCAACAGAAGAAAAGTTACTTGGAAGACCACAAATATTAGTGAATGGTAGGTTTAGAGAACTTGGCGATGGCAATGGTTTTTTGTGTTTTATAGATTTTTGTTACTTTATTCATTTTTAAATTTGTTAAAGAACTTGACTCAAAGATTAGATAGTACTCATTACACTTTTTAATAGTTCAAGCAATTGCCTCATTACTATTAATAAACCCTAAGCCGTAACAAAAGGGCTCCAATGTGGCTTTGGCAATGCACACCAAAAGTACAAACAGAGACACAATCCATGTGCAATATGGCACTGTTAATACGTTGATATTTTTCAGCTGTTGATGAAATCAGGCTCTCTGAGAGCGACCACAGAGTTCGGGAAACCTGGCTACCAGCCAGCCTCAGAACCATAAAACTGAGTTTTAGAGCTGTACCCTCATTAGGAGATAATAGAATGAGTTGTCTAGTCATAAAAACAGAGACACAAGCAAAACCCATGTATCGAGTCAAAAAGATCCAGCATTCAACATCCTAGCCTGGAAACAATATATTAAAAATACATCTGCGCCAGCCTAATAGATGAAGAAGGGGTGCGAGGCTGGTCAACAGATAGAAACTGTTTACCCCTTAAGTTTGTCCAATTACTTTTGAGGCAACCGTTTCCATTCTTTTAATAATGTTTTGAGTAATTCTTATATATCAAATTTTTTTGTTTTTCATAATTGTAGTAATAATAAGAAATTTGGTATAATGAAAAAGTTAAGTTCATGAAAAAAATATAAATTAAAAGAAAACAATTTTTTTCTTTTTATGTTTGGACACTACACCACACTCATACAAATAAATATATATATATATATATATATATATATATATATATATATATATATATATATATATATATATATATATATATATATATATATATATATATGTATATATATATATATATATAAATGTGTATATATGTATATATATATATATATATATATATATATATATATATATATATATATATATATATATATATATATATATATATATATATATATATATATATATATATATATATATATATTTGAATATGTATATCTATGTATTTGAATATATATATATATATATATATATATATATATATATATATATATATATATATATATATATATATATATATATATATATATCCTTAGAGTGTAGTCGAAAGAGACATTTATGGCAAAAATAAGTCTTTCGACTACAATTTTTATTACCTCGTCTCTTAAGCTGTATTTGATTGTCATTGAAATGTCAAAGCAATTAAATTTATTAAAGTACATTAAATTTTATTGTTTTTTAAAAAAACCGCAACAATAATGACTAGAAAGTTTTTTTTAATTAGTGGTGTTTTTGATTTTGTTTTATTAAAAAACATTTTTAAAACATGCGTAAGTGTTGCTAGATCGACTATCTTATAGCCTGCTGCTACAAGGGAGTGTTGCTTCATTGGCTATCTTATAGCCTGACTCGCAACAGAGTGCTGCTACATCGACTGACAAATAGCCTGACTTGCAAAGGAGTGCTGCTACATCAACTGACAATTAGCCTGACTCACAAGGGAGTGCTGCTACATTGACTGAGGGCTTGATTTGGGCAGGCTGTCTATCATTTAAAAAAAAAAAAATTTGTTTGAAGTTTTTTAACATTTTCCGGTCAGGCTTATTAACGCGCTCTTTAAAACAACAGTTTATGGGAAAAACTTTGTGACTACCATGCAAGACTATATATATATATATATATATATATATATATATATATATATATATATATATATATATATATATATATATATATATATATATATATATATATATATATATATATATATACAATATATATATACAATATATATAATATATATATTTGTATATATGTATATATATGTATATATATATATATATATATATATATATATATATATATATATATATATATATATATATATATATATGTATATATATATATTTATATATATATATATATATATATGTATATATATATATATATATATATATATATATATATATATATATATATATATATATATATATATATAGATATATAGATATATAGATATATACATGTATATATATATATAGATATATATATATATATATATATATATATATATATATATATATATATATATATGTATGTATATATATATATATATATATATATATATATATATATATATATATATATATATATATATATATATATATATATATATATATGTATGTATGTATGTATGTATATATATATATATATATATATATATATATATATATATATATATATATATATATATATATATATATATATGTATATATATATATATGTATATATTTATATATACATATATTTAAATATATATATAAATATTTAATTATATATATATATATATATATATATATATATATATATATATATATATATATATATATATATATATATATATATATATATATATATATATATATATATATAATATATATGTGTGTATATATATATATATATATATATATACAAACAAATATTTTTCAGGTTGGTTATGTTAACAGCACAACTCAGTTTGCAATGTCGTTTGCACGCTTGGCTGATAGTTTATCGAGGTTAATTATCTATCTTAAACCTTTCAAAGTTGTGGCAAATGTAAAGAATAGTAATGCTGGTTTTAACTCCACCTTATTTGAAGCAACGTAATAATTTTTCATATGTTTTTTAAAATACATAGTGTGTAACATATTCAAATTCAGTTATCAGCACAAGATTATATGATTAATAGTTTACTTTATAAATTTTTTGCCTTGTTTTTAAACATTTGCAAAAAAATATTTAAGATTGGAATTTGCATTTTATTAATCCTGAAAAAACTCTTTGTTTTTTTCTCTTTTTGTTTTCTGTTTATTTTCTTGCTAAATTTTTTTATTTTTATTTTGATGCATCTCCACAATACTTCACACTTCATACGCAGGGGTGAGTTAATTTAAAGAGTAGATTTTAACTCATGGTTTTTTATGAATTGGGTTATCGTAGGGGTCCTCATTTGATTGTCAATTAATATAGCATTCCGAATTGCAGTTCTTTTTAGCAAAGTAAAACAACAAACATTTGTTTGTTTTGCAGATAAAAAACATCTGATACTCAAAAAGGATACCCCTGACCTTGTGCCCACCTAGGTACAAAAAAAAAATGTATAAATTTATAATTGACCTTGAACAGACTTTCAAATTAACTTTTTACTTTATATTCTATTATTTACTTTATTTATATATATTGAGATATTTTTGTTTTATAATAAATAAGTAACCAATAAGTTTTGTCATGACTCAGCATTTAAATAATTTTGAAAATTTTTAAATATTATATAAAATAGTTATAAAATAGCTAAAATATTATATAAAATAGTTTGAGAAAAGTATGAAATATATTTTATAATATATATGTATCTATTAATTTACAAAATATATTTCAACAGTTGGAAGGCAGCAATTAAAAATTTTTTGAATAAACTATATAATTGCAATAAATTGTAGTTTATTCATGAAGTCTACATACATGTTGTTTACAAATTTTATAAGGTTATAATTTTTAAATTGAAGGGGAATATTTTACACAATTTAGTGATTTTTTATTGATGAATATAAATTTATATATAAAATTGTACAAAAAAGTATTTATCAACTTGTTGCTCTCTTGTTTGGGGCAGTTGCGGTTAAAATTTTAGGTTTTTTTTTTCCCAGACTCCAATCATCGCAATTTTTTGCAAAACATCCTTATTTGACATAAGTATAAACATATAAATTTTCAAAGTTTGTTCTGTCAGGAAGTTAGCTTTCTCAAACATCAATAAATGCTTGATCCTCCCTTGCACAGGTTCAGTGAACATTAACGATGCATTTTTTTAAACAATGTTGATACCTATATGTTGTAAAAGGCCTAAAATAGTTAAGGTTACAATTATCAGCATTTCGACTATCAAAGCACACTAAAGTATATGCCTTTATTATTTAAATCAAAGTATAGGCATTTATTATTCAATTCAAAATATATACTTATTATTTAATTCAAAGTATGTGCCTTTAATATTCAATTCAAAATATGTAACTTTATCATTTAACCTACATGTAGTTAAGATGCTTATATATCAGTTAATATGATACTTAAATCATTCTGTTCATTAAATATTGCTGTATAGTGACAAAAAAATGTTGCAAATAAAGCTTAGTCAGCATAAATAAGAAAATTGAAACCTGAATATCTCAAAAATTATAAAAAGTTGGTGGTACTTTCAAAATTTTCTAGTTTTTATAAACCCTATAACCAAAGTTTCACAGGAAGATGTGCGATGGCACGCAATATGACCACACAAAAAATAATTTGTTTTGATGATTTGACAGCAGCTTTTGATATGTTTTCAAAATTTAAAAATGAGCTAAAAAAACTTACTTGAACTTATATAAAAAATTATTTAAAGTTATTTATAAGTTTATTTAAATCATGTTTTTAATTACATTTGAAATAACTTTTTATCTTTATTAATGTTTAGAACATTAATAAACATTAATAAACAAAAAAAATTTACTTTTAATGATTGTTTAAAATATACTCACACTTTATTTAAATTATATATATATATATATATTTTTTTTTAAATTTTAAAATATCATTTATCATGTAAATGTAAACAAGTAAATAATTACGCACTAAAATACCATTTTATTCTTTGTTTTAACATTTGTTCTTTGTTTTTTGTATTAGTTTGTTTCAAAAGATTTATCATAAAAAATTTATCATAATTAAGCATTTATCATAAAAAATGCATAACTATATAAATAAAAAAAACAACAGTTTATTAATACTTATAAAAATTGATTAGAAGTGTTTTGTTACTTCATCAAAAAGTGTTTTGATAATATAAAAGCATTAAAGATCATTAAAGAACTTATTTAATTGTAATGGCTTATTAAAATGTTTGTCTTTTTTTTTTTTTAATGAGATTTTGTTTATCTTTTTAAATGTATTAACTTTAAATATTCTAATATTAAAAATTGTCTTAGAAAGTCATTGTTTATAAAAAAAAAAGTCATTTTTTATTTTTTAGTAACGTTTATCATAAAAAATGCAACTAAAACAATTTATATAATATTCTTCTTTTATCAAGTTTTTTACTGAAAGTGAACTTACTCTCAGTTTTTGTCTTCTTTTTTTGTTTTGTGTGTGTGCAGTTTAAAGTTTAATTTTAAAATGACTGTGTATCCTGAGAAATAAAAATTTTTTTTATTTGTTTGAAAAAGTATTGTTTAAACTTTACCAAGCTTTATATATATACTTTAAATCTCTATAAAATATTTAGGATAAAGATGTAAAAATTAATAGTTGTAATGCAACAAATGTCTAAAAAAAGTAAATTATTTTCATTAAAACACAACCTTTTCAGAAATAATTTTATCAAAACAGTACTTCATGAATAATTAAAATATATATATTTACAGATATATAAGTGTTATTCTTTTATGTCCATTTTGCAATAAATACTAATATCGTTTTGACCAGCATTTGTATCAAATTTTGTGAGACCTTAACACTGGATCCAGTTTTCTTTATATAGACTTTTAGAATAAGTTTCCCAGCATACAAGACAAACATAGTTCTGTGCTGCACTTGTCTTTAAATTTTTGTCTAAGTTTTTTTGGTTGTTTCATAACATTTTTTAATATACTAGTTAAAAGAGTCTATTTATTGCCATGATTTCTAAAAGGTTAACAGGCAAATGGTTTTTAATTAGTTTTTTCAAGTTTTTTAGTTTGTTGCTATTTTAATTTATTTCTTACAGGGTTATCTGTTAAAATAGCAGCTTTTCTTTTTATTTGCCCAAATGAATTTATCTTTTTTGGGGCTGCCTTTGGGTAAGGTTTACCAATTGTAGCTTTAATTTTTTGAATGATTCGATTCCTAATTCCTGTATTCACATTTGTACCATTTGCAACTAAAGCTTGCATAGATTTTATAGTTCTCTGTCTTTTCTAATATAATAAGGTAAACAAGATTTATGTGGCCCTCAAGAGTTTCACTCATTTGGATTCCTGTAATTGCACTTGATGTTGAAATTTTTATTAAAATAAGAAATGGTAGTAATAAAAATGTAAAAAGTTATTATATTATATTCTTAATAAATATTAAAGAAAAATTAAAGTAAA